AACCTAAACTCTAAACTAACCAGCTAACCTAAACTCTAAACTAACCAGCTAACCTAAACTCTAAACTAACCATTAACATAAACTAACCAGCTAACATAAACTAACCAGCTAACCTAAACTTGAAAAGAAAACAAATACAGATTTAAATCCAAACAACAAACTTTGTTGTTGAAGATAAGACAGAGCAGAATCATGGACCAGTTGAACTCCACATGTATCTGGAAAGTTTCCAGTATCTGATCTTTGAATTGTTGTTTTATTTTTGTACAGCACTTCGATCAGCTGCTGTGTTGTTTTTAAGTGCTTTAGAAATAAAGTGGTTTGGTATCCAGTAAATTTTTTGGTAAATTTGTTTTAATTTCCAAAATTAAAAAAATACTTTGATATTGATTAAAAACAAATAAAGACTTAAAAACTAAAACAACAAACGTGTTTCCAGCAGACTAAGAATCGTCAGTGAACGTCATGTATTATACGGTAATTTTACTTTATACAGTAAATTATTTAATTTTTTAATTGCCTATTTWAAAAAAAACAATCTATAATATTACTTAAAAACAATTAAAGATGTAAATTAACACAACAAACTGTTTAGTTTATGATCCAAACAGACTGAGGCTCTGACACCCACAAACATGTATCCAGTAAATTTGTTTTTATTAGAGAAACAACAGGACCAGTTGGACATGGATAAGACCAGTGTGATTTCTTTATTGGTTTTTTTACATCGAGTGGAACAACGTTTTCTTCCCAAGTTTCTCCCTTTAGCTTTGATCATCTTTTTATTCCACACACAGGTTTGCACTTCTGTTCTGTTTGAAACCAAAATGTAAAAAAATAACAAAATATTTCAACTTGAGATCATTTGAAGAAAACGAAGATTCATGTCAGGAGCAGATTTAGGGGCATTATTATTATTATTATTATTATTATTTTTTAAAATATTTTCTAATAGGTGGAAACAAAAACTGGACGTAAAAATAAAGGTGACGGATGAACCGGATGACCTTTGACCCCCGAATGTTCCGGCTGTAGATCTCAGACTCAAATTATTTGTAATGTTTGTACAAAACATTTTGACCAACATGTGTTTGTGTAATTTAACGTTTCAGTTTGAACAGTTTGTATTTTTTGTTCATTATTTATCTAACTGTTTTAAACACGAGTCACTTTAAAGTTCTTCTTAGTAATAATTAGATTCATGTTATTTTAGTCACCAAAAATCTTTTATATACTGAGACAATTAACAGATTATTTAATTCAACTTGTTAGTACACTGCTTTATGAGCTATAAGTCATTAGATTGGGATGATAAATGTAAGGTTTAGATTTAATTAAGTTCAGATTTAATCAACTTTTAAAAGGTTACTGTATTTATTCATGTATAATACTGGAAATTTAACCAAAAATCATCCATAAAGTGGGGAGGTAGTATTATACACAGGTTATTAATAAATAGATTTTTTTATGCTTTTTAAGCTCAAAAAGTGATGATCGTATTATATATGAATAAATACGGTAATTAGAAATGGAAAACAGAAAAATTTCAGTTTTTTTTCTTTTAGCAACATTAAATAAAATAAAATATCTCCAAACTGGTTTTAAATTGTATTTGGTCATAACGACTAATAATAATAATAATAATAATAATAATAATAATAATTAAAAAAATAATAGTAATAATAATACTTTTTGGTTTTAGAGCTTATTTATTATTTTACTCGTGTTGCTGCTACGACTGTTTTTAAAAATTGCATTTTTTTTTTGTTTTTTTCAGTTGCACAGTGTGAGCGCATCTTTCAGAGCTCCAGCTTGGTTTAAATTAGGTCAAATAAGCTTAACCGTCTAATTTTAATGCAGGTTTTCAGCTCTTACATCAACAGGTCAAAGGTCACATTTTTGCTAAATAAAAATCTTCGTGCATTTCAAAATAAAATGACAATTAAAGAGACTGATAATAATAACAATGCATTAAAAAACTGAGTTGCACATTGTGATGCTTGCATTTTAACACAAAAAAATCTCACTTTCAGTAAAGTTCCCAGTACCAAGAATAATAGATGATGGAATATTATCTTAAAGAAGAAAAGAATAAAACCAAAATAATATTTAAAGTAATGTATTTCTCCATCCCTGGCAGGTGGGACAGAGAGAACATCAATGCATCATCAGGAAAAAGAAAAACATTAGATACAAAAACATTTCTTATTTTTGGTATTAGGGCACCTTTTTCACTTTCACAAAAAATAAAATTTAAACTTAAAAATGTATAAAGCTTTTTGCCCACATTTGTAAGGACATATAAGAAATGAACCATCCTCTGACAGAACGTCCTAACACCAGAGTCTGAGGTATATCTGGAACAGAAGACACGGTCTGCGCTCTGCGTTAGTTTCTTTCAAACATTTAAAAGGTGACGAAAGAAAAAAACCAAGACTTGTTTTTGATTTAATACATAAAAACTGATTAAATTACCTGATAAAATCGCCTTCATTCAAACATAAATCAAGTTTCCAGCTGAGTATTTTATTGCAATAAACATGTCCCTGTTTCCCTTCTGGAACTGTTTTTTTTTTTTTTTTTTTTTGCTGAGATTGTCATGAAGTTCATTTCATGTTCTAAAATGCGAAGGATGTATTTTTACTAGAAGTTTAAAAGGCTACTTTCAATAGTCTGCTAAACCTAAACCTAACCAAGTATTTGTGATGTCTAAACTTAACCAAGTA